AAAAAAAAGCAAAGTTATTTCAGCAAATTTCACTGTAGCATTTGAAAAGTCATCGGTCGACCGGCCAAATGTCAATGCCGTAAAAAAAGCGACCATCAAATATAAGACGACGAACATGCAAAACCCGACTAAGCCAATGAACATGTAAAATTAGGAAGATCAATAGACCAAGGAAAGAATTTTCTGCAGTAATGTGTTCACACAATATAATACATTACAGACAAAAGTATCAAAAAGTCACCCAGAACTAGACCCACAGCATCAAAGACAAATTTTGGAGCAAATAATCCCCACACCTGAATCAAAAAACGATACGGAAAGATATTATACTATAGTCCCGAAACAAATATATTTATTGAAATTAGAAGTAGAAATTAAGCATTAAGTAGGCGTCGGGGAGAGTACCATCAAATGCCGCCTTTGTATTGTAACACATAGCATAGTGACTGTGACTGTTATGGCTGTAATAAGACCATACATCAGATATACCTGACAGAAGAACAATTGCAAATCAATAAGTAACAGCTTCGTGAACTTGCTAATTTGATCATGAAAATTAGAGATTTATATAACAAAAAAACCTGGCATAATCTGACAGAGAATTCTCGTTTATTTTGCCTCGGAGGACCAAAGCATGAAACGAGAAATGGAAGACCAAATATAGGGAGGATGTGAGAAAAGCCAAATGTGTCGATGGTAAGAAGGATTGCTTGACGGATAAGGTTGAATTCATCAAACCTGTAACACATAAAATATAATGGTGTGTGTTTGTTTATAAATTATCTCAATTCATACTCAAAATCTAACTCAACTTTAACCCAACTCCATTATATCAATATAAATGTCATTCTCACACATCATATCAACTTTAATTCATTATTCATCAACTCACATAATTTTAATTAACCATCACTCACATCATCTCTCTCCTACTTTTACATCAAATCAACTTTAATTATTTTATTTTTAATATTATTTTAATATAAACTCAAAATCCTACTAACAACTAATCATACCAACTTTTTCAAAATTAACTATAGTTAACCAAAAAAAATTCGTTTTGAGCGGATATATTTGTATACAAACACGCCCTAAGGCTTTCAAAATTGAAACAACAAATGAAGAAGTCGAGGAAAATAATAATAGGAAAACATGTGTTCTCACCCAACAAATGCAGCTGCGTATCTGAGGCCATCAAAAGCGCACCTTCATAAAGTTTCCAGCATCTTATATCAGTTCTTACAGGTGGTGAAGAAAAGAAACTTAAAAAACAAAAAAGGAAAGGTACAATACTAGCCAAATCACAATTTTTTGTGAATAGTTCTATAAAATTAACGATGTTTTTAAACCTTGAAAATAGGTGTGAATTCTTACCAGTGACCGGTAGAGAAAAACATGCATACAGCCAGAAGGCTCCATTGGGTTACGGGAAGTGCGTAAGAGTGAGAAGATCCAAAACAGTCATTCTTGGCATTTTGCTCTAGTTTCATCAACCTAATTATGCTCCAGCCTGATGAGGGTTAAACAAAAAACAAGCGTATCGGTATTAGAAATTTGGAAAAACACGATATAGTTCTGAGAAACCAGGAGCATTCATTATTCGTCAAATTACAAAGATACATAAGAAACTAAATATAGAAAATGTAATTAGTAGAATTTAACTAATAAAAAACGGATCAAACTTTCCCAACGCAAATATTATTTACAAGTTAGAATAAAGTACCTCCAATGACTAATGCTAATGCAACCAAGGGACCTTGTTTTCCAGCCAGAATAACGATTGTTGAACTCCATGTGGATAACAAAGCCAAAGCTTTAGGAACTGTACTTTCTTCCAAAGCTGAACGTCTCACCCTTACGATCATTTGATTTATGGTCAGCAACAAGAGCTGTAGAAGCCCAACAGCATAGGCCACTCGAGGTATTAGATTAGCATTCACACCCCTAAACAACATCTGCTCCCCCACTAGACAGCTATCAGAAGCCCAGTGTAAGGGTATGAGCACGTAATTAAACACGCTTCCAAAGACAACATACTTCAAAACTCCTCGAGTTGGACAAGAGGTGATGTACTTGTACATAAAATATGCAACAAGAACAAGAGCTAATATTGGCACGACCTCAGCAATATATACCCAAAAACGAGAATCATCGACAATGCCTAAAGTCCTTGAAGGGTCAATCTTCAAGAACAATGAGTTCACAGCTTGTTTCAATTGACCGAGTTCGATACTGATTCTGAGCAAAGAGACCAAAAGGCAGAGCACAAATGCCTGCAGGTTACAACAAAAAGTTAAGCAAAGAGCTGCGCATTTGTAAATTATTTATTTTTTTTTAAAAAAAATTATATCCATAGTTAAAAACACGTTAAAAATTCACCATGTTTCAGAGATAGAAATAAGAAACGTAAAATCTAACAGGAGAATCTTACCTCAAGTACCATCATTTTTTTAATTACTGCAAAACGTAGTTGAAGTAATGCAGTTGTTGCCAAAAGAAAACTAGCCACACGTCCTTCTTCCACTGCAACTCAAAAGTGATACAGAATGAGAAAAAGCCAAATGAAAAACAAAAATGAATTGACGAGTGTTCATAAATCCAATAAGACATAGTGCTTACGGATAAAACTGTTTGAAAGGAAACTCCAAGCGCGTATCATCACTACAATACAAGCAAACATCAACCCAAAGGAAATTCTAGAATTGCTGGGCAAGCTAGATTGAAGTGCACCAAGCTTGTCCAGTCGCCAAATAAGAAATATATGCAGATAAAGTGAACTCAACATGATGCAAAAGCCTATTCCCATCATCTTCAAATTAAACTCAGTCCAACTGGATCGTGCTAGAGCAGCAACACTTTCCAAAAACGTATTATATGCTTCACGTTGTCGTTTCAGAAAAGGTGACGATGCAAATTCCCTCTCACTTCCATCTGAAAAATTCTTTGAAGTGATTGACCAAAGCTCATGCGCCTTGGAATATAGCTTGGATACATGCAGCAAGTCTTTCTCCGAAAATCCAATCAATGACAAGGATGAATAGACATCAATATATTTCTTCACCTGCACAAGTATCGGAGTTGGTGGTCTTAGCATAGATAAACAAACAAATGGTATTAATATATGGTTATTAAGCTTAGTAATTGTAGTCGTGTGGAACAGCTTGTAAACTGATTTCATTATAATCTTGTAAGGATACTCTCTCAAATAAAACAATGTCTAATGAGAAAAGAAAGAGTTGAATGCATTTCCTCATTATCAAACTCTAGGATAACTACAGCACATTCATCTATTTTATACATCCACAACAAAATGGAGTATTGTTTTATTGAGAATAAATGTCACAAGAGGCAGTACTATACAAAAAAACTAATGTTGTACAGAAAAAGGTAAATATAAGCAAACCAGAAAAGCATGTACCTGCCAAGAATTAATACAGAGGACATTGACATAGTTCTGCATCCAATTGTTACCTTCTGATGGACTTTGATCTTCACCATGGGTTGACTTTTCCTGGTTCCATGTACCCTCAGCTAACGAAAAGAGCTCAGCATTAACACGGCCAATACTGAGAAAGAGATTGTAGTTAAAACCATCAGAAGTATTTAATGAAATTTTGAACAAGTTTTGAATACACATGTGCACATGTATGTATAACAGCCCACTGGTCGAACAAATCCATTTGTTATAGTTGTTATCCATACAATATCTTATCATTAAAAGCAAAACACACTACTTCAGAAGTCCATAGCATAAAGCAATAAACATTGAAAAAATCCAAATGCAGAATAGATAGTCATGGTGTTTTTAAGTTCGAGGAAGCCAAAATGAACAGAGCAATTAAAAAACAAGTGATGGAAGATCCCATGATCATTATAGATTTTAGAGACCTTAGTCTCACTCAAACTGCTTTGGAGGCTCAGCAGGCTGTGGGACCATCAAATGCTGATCATAAACACACACTCATCTTATAAGGAATGTTATGATTATCAAAAGAGGTGTGGAGGACAAAGAATCCTTCAAGTATTGATCAGCAAACATGAACAAGAATGAGATGAAAAAAGAAGGCAAATCAATAGATGCTCACATTATTACTGAACTGCATACCTTCCAAAAGGAAAGGGAATGCCAAGCAGAGCAGATACAGTGGCAGCAAAATCAAGCTGCAAAATAAATGCAATTTTAAATACACCACCTTGGAAATCCTATGATTAACTTTTATAGATAGATCATTTACTGCTAGAGTCCATTTAACAGACCTGTTCAAAAGTGTTGACACAAATCCTCCTCCCATGCTGTGCATAGAGAAACACGGGTTAAAAGAAAATAAATAATAAGTAAAAAAAATACTGTGTACCCAAAATCCTTACTGGACGAATAAAAAAAAATAAGTCAAAGCCATTTACAGCAATGTTGAGCAGTGACTTCTGGGATTAGAGAAATAAGAGTGGAGCAAAATCTGTGTCTATTAACCACACAGTTGTAGAAACTGAAAGATCCTTAAATTATAATCTGCATAGCTACCATACTCATTAAAAATTAAAATACTTGTCATGTAAGCGCCCAAAAAACATTGAATTTCAATTCAGGGGTTGGCGGAGGAACAATGTAGAAAAAGGAATTAGTTGGCAGTTGTGGTTTAAGTGAATGTTTCATCACTATTTGTTGTGGCTTCTAGTAAAATACTTACCTAGTACAGAATGAATATCACTCTGAGAATAGAGAAACACGTATTTCTTGCATCCTAATAGCAATTATCTTTTCACACAATTTATTTTCCATCTTGTATAATTGGCACTTCAAACTTAAACTTGTTTCACATGCATATTGCGAATTCTAGCAATCTTGTGCCAGACTAAAGTCATACCGAATCCAATTGGCAAGACAAATTGTCATACTTAGTAAACAGAGGAGTTGATGCCTCCTTTGAACTGAAAGCAAAAAGAGCTGTTTCCACCCGCACAACATGCTTGTAGGTTAAAAATTCAATTATCGGCAATAAAATATCACCAAAAGAACAGTAGAGACAGAGAGCACCTCCTCAGGAGTGCCTCCTCCATGATCACCGTTAATGGTTTGCCCATGATCTCCCATGACAAGAAGCATTGTGTTTTCATGTAGACCACCAGGTCCATTTTGGCTCTCCAGAACTCCAACAACTTTCTACAATATAAAATATGCAATCTCGTTAATAGTCCAAGGAAAAATAAATCACATGTCTAAAGTGACATACCAAAATCAGAAAACAAGAAGTACCTTTATTATTTCATTGTATTGTTCCAACTTCTCTATCATTGGGGCCGAGTCCACACCAAATATATGCCCAGCATGATCCTGTATAGCATTATAGATAAGAAAAAAGTCAAATGTTTGCTGAAAAAAATATGTGGCAACAAACCTTAATAAAACTTGATATCAATTATCATCAGTGTATTTTTGTAATACAGACTATTCGCGATCTCTTACCTCTTTAGAAGCAAGTTACATAAATCACAAGTTTACAATTCTAATAATCATATGAACAATTAGCACCACATTTTCATGCAATCACACACAAGTTACAATCTAATTTTACACACTATTCCAGTTTTATCAGAGATGGATGGTGGCAAGCGAAAATCCAAAATATTTATCTAGCAGATGTCATTGCGGCCTGTGGCTGGAGGCAGGCTGGACCTAAAATTGAAGTATATATTAATATATATATATATATATACACACACACACACACACTACAAATGCGGACATGTCTAAAATACCATAACAATTTAAAATATGTAAAGAACCATAGATTTGAATTAAATACCTTTTTTTAAGTTAAAAACTTGACAATAGCAACATAATGATTAGAAAAATACAAAAAGAGCATGAAACGATAAAGAAGAAAATGCAGCCACCAGAAATACACTGAATGGGTTATCCCTAAAATTGCATTTGTGGGCACAATTATTTTTCTCCCTCTGACATAAGAAAGGTTCATGGAACAGCTAACTGATGATGGTAACAACTCGTACAACAGAAGAACCACGGAGACAGGAGAAACATAGTATCAATTATCGCATCGCGTAACACCCACGCGCACGGAGAGACAGGGAAAGAGAGGGAGAAGAGAGAGAGAGAGAGAGAGATCACCACGCCAAGAAAATGAGCAATTAGCACATCCCAATCTTCTTCATACAGGGTCGGGAATAGGTTTGCGATGCACCCATTGTCAACCTAAAGGGAAGGCCACTGAGAATTCAACATCCAAGTGCACAAGAGAAAATATTGGCAAGACTCATGAACATTTAATTAGGAATCAAGTAAAGTGCTATAATTTGTGTTTATCATAGATAAGCAAATACTTGAACCCTGAAGGAGATCATACCGTATCAAGGTCTTTCACATTGAAAGAAGGATAGGGATAAGATGTCACAAAATGATGTGGAAAAAGTTGTGCCCATGTGTCATCCCCCATCATTACCACACGCTTTCCGTCTTGAACCAACTATAAGCAAGATTTGTTGAAAATGCATGAGCTACCTGATTTAAAAGAAAGAAACAAAGAAATAAAACTAAATATTTGAGATGTTAGGCAAACCAATCAACAAGTATTAATCACACATAGGCGCGGACCTGATGTATCAAGTTATCTTCCACAATCGCAGGAGCACCAAAACTATTTCCTACATCAACAAATGTGGGAAGTCCACCAGTAGTCAAACCCTGAAAGATGAAATACCTACATTTATAAATCTACTCCATTAATTGGATATAACTTCTAATTGTACACATATTAACAGAGATGTGACTGTGACTAGAGATGTAACTGACTGCAAAATATATGAACTTATATACTTGATAGAACTTCATATATTCTGTTGTCAATAAATAGATTGTGTTGACCAAAAGGTCATCATCTGTGGAGAACAATCAATATCGAATTATTGGAAGATGCCACATCTCCATGAAATTATTGCATGGTTGGTCCATCTTTATGTACTAAAGCAAATGAATGTTATAGCCATGAAGAACTGGGCAGAAAAACATGCCCACATGTATGCTTAATGTAAAAGTAAATTAGGATTCACCTTCAAACGCTGCAAACTGGTTGTAGGGGGGTCTGCTATAGCTTTAAAAATTTTGGTTGATGATTGGTTCCGACTAGCTAGCTCGTGTAGAACTTGCAACTTATCCATCCAAGGTTTCTTCTCTGGAATAAAAATAGTAATAGGCACACAAAAGAAACTACTTGATATGTATATTATAAGCATACTTGCCTGCAAAAAATCCTTTTTTTCTAAGCAGTGGCAGAAACTACTTAGACATAAAGTAACCGAAAGGTAAACTACTTGATATGTATATTATAAGCATACTTGCCTGCAAAAAATGAGCTTGGAGCAACAAAATCATACCTAAGACAAGAATACATCACACAGTAGAGAATCACTATCTGAAATGAGATATAGTTAAAAGAACAATCAAACCCAAGAGCTATTACAAGACAGTGAACCTGAGAGCATCAAGAACAATTATGATAAGACGACTAACGGCAGGTTTTGTCCAACAACTTCCATTAGTACTTTGATGATGTGGAGGGATACAGGGCGACTCAGCAATGTCATTGCACTCGCTGTATTGCGAAAGCTCCGTGCGCGTGAGAAGAAAACCTCTTGTAAACAACAAAATTGCCATGCTGTGAAGCAACATTAGTCCCGTAAACATCACCAAAGCCCATTTCCAACCACCCCAGTTCTCATTCCTCCAAAAGCCCCATTTTGCAGCCGTACACATTTTAACTTCACCTATGTTAATGGACAGTGTAGTGCTAGAGGCTGATGAGAAACCTTGTTGCTGCCCGCAAAAAAAAAAAAAAAAAACTTTCAGAAATGCAGATCATTCTAGCGTTTACCACATGTTTCAAGGCAAAAACTGGAACTCAAGCTGAACCAAACACATGCAACTTGATCTAACTCTATGATGGCATAATAGCTTTGAGGAATTGAGGCTTTTGATTTAGTATCCATACCTTTAGGAGCCGAGCAGTAAGACGGAAATCGATGAGTCCCCGGCGGCGATGGCGGAACCACGACGGAGAAGCTGAGACTGTGTAGCAAAGGAGTTCAAACGCTTACAGGAACCCAATTTCTAAGACCACGTTTGTTAAGTGCATCGCACAGGAAAACAATATTAGGATTGCACAATAATAAATTAAATATAAAAATAACAGATCATGATGACAATCCCATCGAATGGATCGGCAACCAATTTACCGACCGGTCCGGTTTTAACGTTGCTAGCGAAGCAGACAACACTAGCCGGTCGAACTGATAGGATCAGTACGATTTTAATACATTTTGTTACATTTAAAATCATTTTTAGTACAAATAAAAAGACATATTTATAAAAATGGAGATTTATAAATTATTTATCTAACTAGTTTAAATTTTAAATTGTGCACATATTTAATTAATATTTTTTATATAAGTTTATTACAAAAAATATTATGGCCTTGTTTTGCGATCAGCAGATAGCAGATAGCGGATAGCGGATTGTATCAGCGGATAGCGGATATCGGATTATATTAGCTTATTTGACCAGCGGATTGCATTAGCGGTTTTTAAATAAGTGTTTGGTAAATAGCTGAAAGCTTATAGTTGTTTGATATTGCAAAATGACCAATAATGACATTTTATTATTTAGGGTGTATTCTTTTATTAATAATATATTAAAAACTTTGATATTCTTTAGTTGGTAATTTATAAATATATTATTTATTAAAAAAACTTACTAACACTTGATGAAGAAGTTATGAATTTTACATTTTTCTAGATAAATTACATATGGATGACATATTATTATTTATTAACACAATAAACCAATGTAGATTGTAAAATAAATAATACAAATTAAAAAGTTCCAAATAAATAATTTTTATGAACCCTCTATCCCAAAAAGCTGCTCTAATGAACTTTTTCTAAATTAGAGTTTTGGGCCCAAAAAACTTATCAAATAAGTTATTTACCAAACAGGCTCAATAGCGGATTTGACGGGTCAAACCTCTCAATTAAGTCCAATCCGCTAATTTATCTTCAATCCCTATCTTCCAAACAGGGCCTATATAAATATATTAGGCCTGGGACCGGTCCGGTTATCATCTAAATTCACATGAACCAAAATCATACACGTATGTAAAATTTCGGTTCGGTTAGTCAAGTTTTTTTTCCAAGAACCGAATTGGAGCCGAACCAACTTCTTTCGGTCCGGTTCTTCCGGTTTTTCGATTAACCGAAAAATTAAAAGAACCGGTGTTTGCTGTTTGTTTTTCGCTTTTCTGTGAGTTTTCCAGCATCAGATAGTTTCTCTAATTTTTTACCCATGTGTTGAATCACTGGCTTTCTCTGAAGAAGAGGCCATGAGAATCGAGGATGGTCGAACTCGAAGCTCGAAGGTCAGGAATTGGGAAAAAATGACTTACAGATTTAGGATTTAGGGTTTCTGTTGAATTCGAATAAGGTGAGAACGAACGAATGATTGATTTGGAGCCGGCTTGGGAAAATTCAATTAGGTCATGAATTGCCTTTTTATTCCCCTTAACTGAAGAACTGACTGAAGTCGAAGCCTCGAAGTCGAAGGTGAGGAGGAACTGAGGGATGAAAAATGAGAATGAAAAGAGAAGTGAATTGGTAAAGATCGATTCAGTTTTACACATTTATTTGAAAATTTATTTAATTGTTTTACTCTTAATCATATCATATGGGCCAATTTATTCTACTTGGGCTAAACTTAAAAATTGTTTGGGCTTCCTATATGGATAAGATTCACAAGAAATGAATGGTGAATTAAAGAATTAATGACACCCACTATCTATTTGTTTAGACAGTTTAGATAATTACCCCAACTTATTAATTAGACAAAATTACCTCTTTTGTTTCTATTAACACCTTTTTTTAAAAAAATCATTTTTAGAATAAATAACTGATTGTTTTTTCTCTCTCCTTTAGTTTTTTCTCTCCACGTAGCCTTCTCCTTATCTTTTTTCTTATCTTTCCCTTTTTTCTTTTTTTTTTCTATTCACGATTTTCCTCTTTCTTCTTTTTTTCATTGAAATTGCGCTATTGATTTTTCACCTTCTTCTCAATTTTCTTCCTTTTTTCTTTTGTGTAAAATAGATTATCTTAATATGGTTTTCTCATAAAATAGATTTTCTTAATATGATTTTTATCATAATTTTTCATCAAATCCACATCCCAATCATAATACGGCACCTGACGGCCGGTACACCTATCCGAATCTAGATCTAAACTTACGTCGCTTCTTCAATCCCTGCGTGAATGTCACCAGTACGGCGAACGCATTCACAAGTACTCATGGCAGACGATACGGAAGTACGAAGCCATCGGATGGAAGATCGAGATCTTGAGTCTGTGGATGGGCTGCTCGCAAGCGGCCGGCCGATATGGGCGCCACCGTTCTTCATTAGAAAATCTTAGTTCGAATTTATGAGTCCTATTGAATCGAGTGATTGTTGTATTTTTTAATTTTTTGTGAGTTGATTTTGTGAGTTGATTTATACATAGTTTAAAATATAACGTGGATATGAAAATATAATTTATATGAAGATTGGGTGTGCACTGGCCAAATTAAAGTTATTTTCGTGTTATTTTCATGTTGTTTTCATGTTGCTTTTTTAATGTTATTATGTTATTGTTTGTGCTATTTGGTATCCTGCTTCTTTTTTAATTGAATGATGATTGTTTGTGTTATTCACTATCTTGCTTATTTTTTGATTGAATGATTCTTACTTGTTGCTGATTTTTTTTATTCGTTCACACCTTATGTTAACTTTTCTATTTATTGATTATGTGAAAATTTCTTATGATTTTGTGAAATCTTTTTTTGGAATGCATTTTAGTAGATAGAAATAGAACAAAATTATGTTTTCATTTGTTTTTTTTATGTTCTCAGAAGAAGAAGAAGAAAAAGAAGAAGAAGAAGAAGAAGAAGAAGATAATCGTGCAAAGTGGAGAGAGAATAAGAGAGAAAAACAATTTTTTTTTAAATATTTATGTTTTTCATTGTTTTGTATTTATTTTCTTTTTCAATTTTTTTTTTCTATTTTCCTAATTTTGTCTAGTTTTGGAGTATATGTGGAATTGTGTATGCCCTGGATTATTTAGAAATATTTTTCTCAAACTATGGCAGTTACAAAATTTTCCCTGAATTAAAGGGTTTATTCGACGCTACCCTTACGGGTACTACCCGTTTTTACTGTGCTCCAATTAAAACAACCACGTGGAACCCAACCACTTTTCATGTTTCTCTTTTTCTTTTTTGGCCGAATTTGGGGCTAAATTGATTTCATCTTTTTTTATTTGTTCACCTGCTTGATTAATCCATACCATGGTTACCTTTTTCAACTAACAAAAATAAAAAATAAAACAGGCTGTTAAACCACATACGTGCTCCAATTTAAAAATACAAATCTGAAAACAAAGATCTGACTTCACCCGAATTCAAATCGCCAGACTCCAGATTAAAACCATCGCCCGACACCAGATTAAAACCACAGATCGACTTCAAATCGCCCAACCTCAAGAAATTGCAGCAGTAAAGTCGACGCCCGACTTCAAGAAATCTATGGTGGAAGCCGACTGAATATTGGCGAGT